CTCTTCCTCCTCTTCCTCCTCTTCCTCCTCCTCCTCCTCCTCCTCCCCCTTTTCCTCCCCACTGCCAGAGGGATTCTTATCTGTGTCTGATACTCTCTACTCACTTGGGACTGGCAGTCAGCGTGAGGATATTATAGAGAAGAGCTGAGCAAGCCAAATTTCTTCAGAGAATGACATCATAGATCTTCTAAAGCCTGGCAGGTTGTCAATGTTTCATTTTCCTTTCTGCCTACCTGCAAACACTTTCACACACATCAACACAGAAACAACCCAACCCACTCCTTTCAAAGTCCTGTTCTATTTTGATTTGCATGAATAATTTAAGAGTTCAGTTTCCCTTCAATGATACAATCACTATCAGTTTTGTGAGCACAGGGCAGGTCAGTGGATTTCATGAACATAAAGCCATGCTCACTCATAACCGGAGCAATCCAGAACACAAGAGGCACCCTAGTTTCTGTCCTGCCCAGAGCAACGACATCTAACTGGTTGGTAGTTTCCAACATTTTGCAAAGCTATTGGGGGTGGGGAATGGACCTGATAGCAATATCTGGACAAGGTGATAAGGATTAACCTGTGGGTAGGTAGCACCAGTAGCTGGTCAGAATTCCTGCTTTCCCAATTTGGCTCAGTCAGTCATATTGAAGTAACAAAGGGTTTTAAGGACAAAATCAGTGTGCTACTAAACTCTCATCTCTTTGAGGGGGAGAATTGTGTTTTGCCTCAAGTTTGCAGCTTGCTAAACACTCAGAAAGTGCTCTCCATATAGAACATGCTTAATGAAGGTTTCTTGAGTGGATGTTAAGTGAATAAACTGGAATAAAATACTCTTCAAAACAAGTCCTGAACAAGTCTCTTAAACTCTCTGAATTTGTTTCCTTATTGATAAAATTAAAGAGTTGTCCTAGATCAAGGATCCTGAACATGAGGTTGATGGACCCTCAAGGGGATCCATTGAGAGATTTCAAGGGGTATATGGACTTGGATGTGAGAAAATTACATCTTTATTTTCACTAATCTCTGACTGAAATTCAACATTCTGTTATGAATTGTAGACAACAGACATTCTCCTGAGCCACAAGCTTCCCCAGACTTCCAAAGGGAGTCCATGACATAAACTAAGTGAAGAACTGAACCAGATGATCTCCAAAGTCTTCTCCAGTTCTTGATCTTATGATATATGAGCAAATCTATGCCTTGGCCTCCCCTCAAAACAAACAAGCCTTGCCTCTTCCAAGAAGTCTGCCTTGATTAAATGTACATTCCATACACATTAAGTATTTAAGTGTTATGTTGTTTCATGCATGACCTACTCTTTGTGATGTCTTTTTTAGGGGGTTTCTTCACAAAGATACTGGAGTGGTTTGTCATTTCCTTCTCCAGCTCATTTTACAAATGAGTAAACTGAGGTAAACAGGGTTAAACAACTTGCCCAGGGTCACACAGCTAGTAGGTGTCAGAGGCTGAATTTGAACTCATGAAGATGAGTCTTCCTGATTCTAAGTTCAGTGTTCTGTCCACTTCACCACCTACTTGCTTCATGGGTTTCTTTTTTTTTTTTAATCATTTTACAAATTTGGTTGATTTAAGAATTTTATTGGTATAGAATTGAATCTGTAAATAAATTTAGGTAGTATGATCATTTTATTGTTTTAGTGTGACCTAACCATGAACATCATTGATCCCTACCATTATTTAAATCTTATTTCTATAAATATTTCTATCTTATGCATTTCATAGTTTTTTTATTTGAATTTCTCCTATTTGTGATTTCAGACTAATGAATTTTTCCTTTTCTTCTGAAAACTGATCAAAACCTTTGGTCACTTATCTCTTGGGGAGTGACTCATTCTTATGTGTTTATGATAATTCCTTTAATATCTTGGATATCAGACTTTTATCACAGAAACTTAATGCAAATAATTTTTTTTCTACCTGGCAGTTTTTCTTCTTCTATGAGGTGTATTGACTTTATTCATACAAAACTTTGTGATATTTTGTAATTGAAACTGTATTTTATTGTTTAGGATTTTCTCTCTCTATTATTTGGATAAGACTTCTCCCAATTCTCTAGTTGTTTTTTTAAGATAACCTTTTATATTTAGGTCATATATCCAGTTGGAGCTGATTATGATTTACCATTTAAGGTGTTTGTCAAAATTTAATTATTCTCAAATTATCTTCATTGTCCCCAGAAGTTCTTGTCAATGGAGAATCTTTTCTCCCAGAAATTTGTTTTCCTGAATTTATTGAATATGGGACTGCTGTACTTGCTTACTTCTGGCTCTGTCTTATCTAGTCTTTTTTTTTTTTTTAACTATTTTGTAATAGGTAACAAATAGTTTTTAGTATTACTGCTTTATAAAATAGTTTGAAACCTGCTAATGCTATGATCTTTTCACTCCTTTTTAAAAATTTCCTTTGACATACTAGAGTTTTCATTCCTCCAGATGAATTTTATTATTATTTTTATCTAGTTCTAGAAAAGAATGCCTTGGCAATTTTATTGGTAAAGAACTGAATCTGTAAATCAATTAAGGTAGTGTAGCCTTTTTTTGTTTTGTTTTTATGGCCTAACCATGAATATCATTGATATCTACAATTATTTAATTTTTTTTCATTTCTATAGAATGCATTTTGTGCATTTTACAGTTTTTACTGAATTTTTTATCATTTCCTTCTTTTTTTTAAGGTATTGTATAAAAATGCTGCTAGTTTCTATGGATTTATTATGTATGCTGTTACTTCATTGATGTCATTATTATCTAAATTTTTTATTTAGATTTATTTCTTTACCTAAATCTAGTTTCTTCACTTATTTGCTGTGGTTTTCTAAGTAAATCAGTAAGTCATCTGCAAATAGAGAAAATTTTATTTCCTTTTTTATAGATATTTATGCTTTAATCTCCTATCTTGACTTGTTTAAGCTAACATTTCTAGAACTATGTCAAATAATTAAGAAAAGAGATCCCATTGCTTTACTCCTACACTTACTGGAAAAGTTTCCAGTGTTTTGTTAATGTTGATAATACTAGCTTTTGGTATTAGAATTTTTTATGATATTAAAGAAGGGCCCTTCAATATGTTTTATTTTTAGAATTATTAACACAATCAAGTATTCCATTTTGTCATAGATTTTTTCTATATATATTGATAGTTGTTTTGTTGTTTATATTATTATGTCTGCTACTTTTTAATCATCCTTCTATCCCCAGTACAAGTCAGATATGTTTTTAGTGAATAATTTATATATATATATTTATACATGTATGCACATGTATGTATATATACACATATGTTGCTGTTGTCTCTGCTAAAATTTAACGTTAAATTTTTGCATCAATATTCATGAGCAAGATTGGTCTATATTATATATGTATATATATACAGATATACAGATGAGGAAACTGAGGCAAACAGGGTTAAGTGACTTGCCCAGGGTCACACAGTTAGGAAGTATCTGGGGCCAGATTTAAACCCAGGGAGATGAGTCTTCCCAACACTCTTCGCTGTGCCACCTAGCTGCCCCACTTGCTTATTCTTAATGTACCTTTAAAAAAAATTGTTTTTTGCTTTTTCTACTTGTCCTTCTTTAGGTTTGATTTTCATAGGAGCAAAGTTAAATTAAGCTACTTTGCCTTGAGCCCTCAAGGGTTCTTGCACTAGCATTCCCACCTCAGTCTTCTTGTGGGCCCATGAGTCCTAAATCTCAAACCATGGGTGGAACTTCTAGAGGTTTGGTTGTTTCTGGTGTTTTCCTTCACCTTAGTAAGCAATGCATACAGACCTTCCCAGGCTTTAGGGTGGGGACATGAATTGCCTCATTGGTGATTAGTTGGGATAGGTTTCCTTTCAAGGTTCCTTCTGGAGGAGCAGGTCAGCCTAACCTAAAAGCCACCAAGGTGTATGTGCTTCCCTCAAGCAATTCCATGTCACAGTCAAGAAAATCAATTTATCTGTCACAAGCTTTGAGTTGCCATCTGTTGTAAAAAGGGTGTCTATCCTGAAGCTGATCTGGCATTAGGAAAGAGTGGATCTATTCAACCTTTGGACTAAGTTCATCTTGAATGATAGCATCAGGAGAATCTTTCTACTTAGGGACAGCTAGGTGTTTCAGTGGATAAAGCACTGGGCCTGGAATCAGAAGACTCATCTTCCCGAGTTCAAATCTGGCCTCAGATACTTGCTAGCTGTGTGACCCTGGGCAAGTCACTTAATCCTGTTTGCCTCAGTTTCCTCACCTGTAAAATGAGCTAGAGAAGGAAATGGCAAACCACTTCAGTATCTCTGCCAAGAAAATCCCAAGTGGGGTCATGAAGAGCTGGAAATGACTCAATAACAACAAAAGTTTATTGGAAAGAGCATTGGACTCAGAGTTAGAACACCTGGGTTCAAATTGCAGTCTTGTATGACTTTGGACAGTACGTGACTAGTCTCTAGGCCTCAATTTGCTCTGTAAAATGAGGAAGCTGGAATGAATGATCTTGAAGGTCATTGTTTTCTCCCTGTCTCTCTGTTTCTCTCTGCCACTCTCTCTACTTCTGTGTGTGTGTGTGTGTATCTGTCTATCTTAGCTTCAGTATTTCTCATCTTCAGATTAACATCCTTTACAATAACATCTTATTGCTAAATGCTCATAAGATTCCATTCTTTTCTCATTCTATTGGAATCTAGGAAGGAGGATGGGTAAATATGGATAGTAGGAAGGAAATACAAGAGGAGTCAAAACTCTAGGTATCAGTTTCCTGAGTGTGGGTAATCAAGTGCAATAGATAGTGGAGAGGAGGCAGAGGACAAGTCCCAATTCTGGCCTCACTTTCCTCACCTATAAAATTTTGACTAGATAATCTCAAAGATTCTTTCCAACTCCTATGACCACTGGAAGGTGAAAGGGTAGTATATCTCCTAACGCAGGACTGGTCGCTTCTCACAGTGGGTAATGGGGATGAACAAAGGTCCTTTGTAAGATCTTTTGTCTCATTGGTTTTTTCTTTCTCCAGGAGGTGTCTGGAGAACCTATGACAAAAAAGACTCCTGAAGCCTGATACCTCAACATCTCCACCTGCCGGTGCAGCTGATCTGACCTGATGGCTTATTATTTCTTACTGAGAATAGCTAAGGCCTTTTGGCTCTTGACTGTTTTGAATGCCTTGGAAAATTCAGGTATCTTTGTTCTCCTCCATCTTCCACACATGGTAATAGCTGAGGAAAAGAATAATGGGAAAGAATAAAAAGAGTGTGATTCAGAGCTAGAAGAATCCTCAGAAATCATCTAGCTTACTTCATTTTACAGATAAGGAAACAAATGTTGAAAATTGTTCTTACATATAATTGGGGGAAAAGAAAATGCTAAATTTTAAAAAGAAAAAAAAACCTAAATACCTTCTGTGCTTAAATTTATCTCTTATTTATACCTTAGTGTGAATGAAGGCTCTAAAGGCAAATTTTAATCTGGCAGCAAGAGGACTGGGAGTGCCCTGAAAGAGATATAGACAGGAATACAGGAGAAACTGGAGATACCAAATGTGTTTCTCCCTTTGCAATTTTGCCTAGGGCCAGCCCCGCCAGGAGAGATAGATTTACTTTTCAAATGTCTTCCAAGACAAATGAGCAATGGATGTTTCTGTAGCTGTACCTCATTTAATATGGCCCTAGTCTAGGCTTGGAGTTCCCACTTTGTGGTAGAACAGCTGGGGACACTTGGCATGATGATGGGTGTACTGTGTCACCAGTACATAGCAGAATCTCTGAGCCCTTATGTTTGGAGAACAATCCACTGATTCCTCTGGAGGTAAGCAAGTAACAACTTGCTTAAAGAAGTAGGAATAATAATGATGATAACAGCTAGTATTTATATAGCATGTACTACGTGCCAGGTACTATGACAAGTCCTTGACAAATATTATCTCATTTGATCCTTACAACAACCTTGCGAAGGAGGTGTTATTATTATTCTCATTGTACAGTTGAGGAAAATGAGGCAAACTGATTTGCCCAAAGTCACATACCTAGTAAATGTCTGAAGCTGAATTTGAACTCAAGTCTTCTTGACTCCAGGCCCAGCATTCTATCCACTGTCCTACCTAGCTGCCATATAAGAAGGCAACTGATAATAGGTAGTATTTATATAGTGCTTTAAGGTTTCCAAAGTGCTTTACAAATATTATCTCATTTGATCCTTACAAGGACTGAGAGAAAAGTAAGTGGTATTATTTGACATATGAGGAAACTGAAGCAAACAGATTGACTTGCCCAGGGTGATACAGACAACAAATATCTAAAGCTGCATTTGAACTCAGGTCTTCCTGATTTCAGGTTAATTACTTTATTCACCATACCCCTGAATGCTATTTACTGGCATGCCATGGTGAGGGGGGAATGGGGTTTATGATAAAGCCCCTCCCTCTCTATTTGTTTCAGTATTTAATGTGATTTTTTTAATGCTGATATTTTGGCTCATATTTCTTGTAATCATTTGATCCCATTATTGTATAAATTTATGTGTAAAAATTATATATGTGATTATATGGAGGTAATCTTGAAAATGTATACCAAATATTAGTTCATATTTAAATAGTTATACATTAAATTTAAGTTATACATTAAATCATAAATTTAATTTAGTTCATATTTAAATAGCTCTTTTGTGTATATGGAGTACTTTCCCCACAGCAGCTCTGTGATGTAGGTAATGCAAGTAAAATCATTCCCACTTTACAGATAAAGAAGCTGAGGTTTATATAGGTTTCTTGAGTTTTAGGGAATCATAGATTTAGAGATGGAAGGGACTGAAGAGGCCATATAGTTCAAGCTCCCCATATTACAGATGAAAAAACTGAGGCTTGGAAAGATTAAGTAACTTGGCCATGGCTACACATGTAGTGTCAGAGAAAAAATTCAAAACCAGGTTTTCCCTGCTTCAAGCGCACCCCTTGGTTTACTATGTCATGCTACCTCTTACTTAGAACTAAATGGCAATAAGTGTTGAAGGCAAGATTTGAACCCAAGTCTCCTGACTCCAAATCAGCACATTTTCCACTCCACAGCACTGCTTTTTATATGACTATAAGATATGGCAAAAGGTGAGTGGCCCAAGAGAGACAGTAGTAAATTTATGCTTATGAATTTAAATTGATTTACTCATTACAGTAACATGATGCAGCAAAATTGAAGTTTAGAGCCTGAATTCAAATCCTACTTCAAATCAGGTCATTATGTGACCCCCAAAGTCACAAATTACTTAACCTCTCTGGGCCTCAGTTTCCTCCTCTGTAAAAAAGAGGACTTTGGATTTGATAATCTCTAAGGTCTCCTGTTAGCTCCAGCTCTATGATTCCATGATATATAGTAAGTCTTCTTCAAACCTAATCTCATTAGCCCAACAAAAGACTCCCTATTTTCACTGCTCCCCATATTAGCTGCCATTGTTGAAGGCTTCTTCTTTGGGCCTTTGAGTTCTATTGTGCTCAAATATAGAACAGCACACAGAGAAGGACATTTGTGGTCTTCAAATTAACTGATAAAATTCCTTTCTATTCATTTAGACATCATATTTTTTTCATTATTCAGAGTTCCTTTTTTAGGTAGGAAAAGGGGGGAGAATAATCATTTATTGAGTACTTATTATATCCCAGGGACTGCATTAAGCATTTTATACATGTCCTTGTGAAGGGAGCTAGGCAAAGGCAAGAGTATAGTTGAGAACTATGATAATAAATAGCTGCTTTAGGACAGAAGCCAAGAATGAAAAGCACCTGGGTCACAGCAGGAGGAGATTGAGAGGGAGCTGGAGCTCTTAGCTCAGAAAATTCCTTGTCTCTGCTCCAGCCCTCACTCTCCCCTTTCTCTCATCTTTTTTTTCTGAGTGTGATAAGCCTTTTCATGGATAAATACTTTTGTAAAAAGACTTTACATTTTCTCAGAAATACATACACAGATAAACATTTCATGTTTTCAATATGCTTTCTATGAAAATGATAAATTTTTTTAAATGATTTAAGCCTCTTGCACTTAATTTTGTTTTAAGGATCCAGAATGCCTAAAGTTAGCTTTTGATCTGGAGAGGTGGTTTTCTTTAACCTATGTCTTTTGTTTATTCCTTCTTTCCTTCCTTCCTTTCCTTTCCTTTGTCCTCCCTTCATTTCTTTTTTGATGATGAGAGGAAGTGGACAGGGATTAGAAAAGAAAAAAATGGAAAAGAATCTGCAAGTGTTTGGGGAGCCCAGAAGAGTAAGGACAGACTTAGAGATAGAACCAGAATCATTTACAGAAATTTTCATTCAGAAGCTTCTAACCAAGATGTTCCTGTTTGTCAGTAACTGAGAATCTTTCAAGGCTAATTCACGGTCAGCCTTCTCCGTGAAGCTTTTCCCAGCTGCCCTAACCGCAAACCTTTGCCTCTGCCCTTTGAACTTTGAGTATATGATATCTATGCCAATCATCCATTTGACGCTGAGCTTATGTTCTTATTGGAAAGCAAGTCCTCAAAGTCAGAGACAGTGAGTGCCTTATGCCTCTTGACCCCAGCACTTGACCGATGGTTGTGTCTCACTAAGTGTTGATGATGATGGTGGTGGTGGTAGTGATGATGATATGACTCTGGAATTTGTTCATTTATTGCAGAGTTTGCAAAGTTTGAATGCCAGAAAGAAGTATCTGCTTGCAGAAATGACCAGGTTGAGATAATCTGCAACAGCACCATGGACTTTGATGGTATAGACTTGTATTTTCGTAAAGACAAGAAGGACAAAGACAAACTCCTCTTCAGCATGACCACAGTAGGAGAGTCTCCCCTTCAGCATGGGATGCATCTCAAATTTAAGAACCAAGAAGTCACGTTGGTGATTCAGAACATCCAATTTTCCCATCATGGAATCTACCGGTGGCATCTTTCAGGGCACGGGTCCTCAAATAAGTTCACTACACTAACTGTTTCAGGTGAGGAAAAGTCAGGAACGGGAACATTATAAGTTAGGGAATATTATAAAATCTTTCTCTCTTACTTTGGAAGTTCAACTGTTCAATTCAACAAGCATTTATTAAGTACCTACTGTGTGTATCCAGTAGGTACAACATGAGGGAGATACAAAGTTTAGATGTGACTGATCTCCTAGGGCTTACATGTAATTATTAAACATTTCAATACAGATAACTATAGTACTGGTAAATTTTTGAGGGATCTGGACCTGGGATTTCTTTGGTATGGAAACTCTCTCTTCTGATGGGCAACTCATTGGTAGCTTGTGGTCTTAAAGTTGCTTGAGGATGTTGACAGGTTAAATGACTTGCCCATGGTCACACAACTAGATAGTATCATAGGCAGGGTTTGAACCCAGATCTTCCTGATTCCAAGGCCAAGTCTCTACCCTCTATATGTCTTTGCCTTTCAAAGATAGAACAGATATAACTGATTATCCTGGTTGGGGGAGTTTCTTCTCAGACATCTATTTAAAGCAATGGACAGATATTTACCTCAAGGGGAAAAATTTCTTCCTTAGTTTGTTGAGTCAGATCATTTAGAAAACTTCAGATAATCAAGATCTAGAACGTGCATTAATTACATAGCTGCATTCTCAAGCAGGCTGCTTTTCCTAAAAGTCTTGGGAATGAGTGCCATAAGTGGCTGTATAGCCACCCATCTGAACCCCCTTATTTTGGTGTCATTGTTCTCCTAGTGTGTCACAAGCCTAACCCCTTCAGATAGCAATGAGAAGGTCCTTGCAGTTTAGCTGCGACTACCCCTTCCCTTCCCTGATGACTAGATTTCCTATAATAAAAGCTAGCCAGCAATTTATATAGTACTTTCAGGTTTGCAAAAGTACTTCATAAATATCTCATTTTATTCTCACCACTCTGGGAGAGAGGTGCTATTATTATCCCCATTTAACAGATGAGAAAATTGAGGCAAAAAGAAGTCGAATGACTTGCCCAGGGTTATATAGTTAATAAGTGTCTGAAGTTGGATTTTTAAAAAAATTTACTTATTTATTTATTTTTAGTTTCCAACATTCATTTCCATAAGATTTTGAGTTCTAAATTTTCTTCTCCTCTCTCACTTCCCCACTCCCCAAGATGGCATGCAGTCTGATATAGGCTCTACATATACATTCATATTAAACATATTTTCACATTAGTCATGTTGTAAAGAAAAACAAGAGGAACCAAGGAGAACCAAGAGAACCAAGGAGGAACCAAGAGAAAGAAGAAACAAAAAGAGAGAGAAAGAGCAAATAGTGGGCTTCAATCTGCATTCAAACACCATAGTTCTTTCTCTGGATGTGGAGAGCATTTTCCATCATGAGTCTTTTGGAGTTGTCTAAGATCCTTGCATTGCTGAGAAGAACTAAAGTCTATCAAAGGCAGTCATTGTACAATGTTGCTGTTACTGTGTACGGTGTTTTCCTGGTTCTGCTCACTTCACTCAGCATCAGTTCACGTCAGTCTTTCCAGGTTTTTCTGAAGTCTGCCTGTTCATCATTTCTTACAGCACAATAGTATTCCATTACATTCATATACCACAGCTTGTTCAGCCTTTCCGCAACTGATGAACATCCCCTCAATTTCCAATTCTTGGCCACCACAAAAAGAGGTGCTATAAATATTTTTGCATATGTGTGTCCTTTTCCCTGGAGCCGGATTTGAACTCAGATTTTCCAGACACCAGGTCCAGATCTCTATTTGTTATGCTACCTGTTTCTTTAGTGGGGAGTAGTGTTGCTAAGAAGTCCATTGGCATGTTGGTGGTCAGAGAGTCTTCATAGGTGACTGGTGAAGCCTTTGAGATTGGAAGAGTTTTGAGAGTAATAGGATTTGGATGGAGGGGTTTTTGACACTAGTGTTCTAAAAGCTGGGCCGCTTTAGTTAGGTGATTCAGGCTATCAGTCTGTGATTCTGTATCTATTCTGCAGCTAGGTGGTGCAGTGGATAGAGCACTAAGCTTGGAATCAAGAAGACATCTTTTCAAATCCTACCTTAGACATTTACTATCTGTATGGCCCTGGGCTAGTCACTTAACCCAATTTGCCTCAGTTTCCTCATCTGTAAAATGAGCTGGAGAAGGAAATGGCAAACTACTTTCTAGTATCTTTGCCAAGAAAACTCCAAGATGGGGTCATGAAGGGCGAAAAATGACTGAACAACTGAATCTCCCCAAAAAGCCATTTTCTCTTTGGCTCGTATATTCTTACCCAGAGTTTATGGTGGGAAATATCTAAATATATTTATATCTAAGTTTGCATAAATATGACTACCTGGGCCTCTAGCTCCCACATAAGCACTCAAGATAATGGATATATATTGGATACAGCCATTATTTTACCCCATAGAAAATGCAGAAGACATAAAGGGTCCATAAACAAATATAAGAAACACTTAAAATGTTATAATAGTCTATAAGCTCCCCTTAGAAGGGAAATGAACATAGGTTTGCCATCAAGGCCACACACCAACATTATAGTAGACCCCTAGCTCTCACACAGTGTCCCACACGCTCCCTCCTGGACTCACAGCACCCCTTACTATTTAAGCCCCCTTGAAGGTAAACATACTTTGAAGTATCTAGTCAGACAATTCCCTTCCCATCATAGGCAGTCCAAATAATTCACTTGAAAGGGTGGGAAACTAGGGGGAAGGGAATAAGGTTTGCTTGCCTTCCCATGCATGGCTTTAATCTCCTTCTTGCTGCTCCTCTAGCTGTGAGGGGCCATGTGGGTGATCCTTTTCTTTACCCAAGAGGAATACTACCCAAGAACACCTCTTTTCCCTCTAGAAGATCCAACTCTAAAACTCTGAAATTGGGTTTACTCTTAAGGCAGCACCCAAAGCTGGCACTACCCAAGAAATCTCCCTTCTCTGTTAGAAAAACTGATTCTGTGATCACACAGTCTAGGAAATCAAGATGCCTCAGTTTCTGCACAGGAGGTTGGGGTCCACAGACATTAATTCCCTTCTTGAGCCATATAGGCAAGCACATGTCTCCCTCTGCCATGTGCTTCTAGAGGAAATGTTCATATTCTGCTGTCACCCAGATGTTGCTGCCATCAGAGGAGAATTAGTACTTGCTGGATGGTTCTGCCAAAAGGAATCTACTATTGCCTGCTGGGTGGGAAGGAGAAGAGAGGTCCCTTCACTCTACCCCTCAACTCTGGAAGAAAGGTATAAGAGCAAAGGGGAGAAGGGGGTGGAACAGGTCTGTCGGCTCCTTTTGTTGTTGAGGCAATCAGGATTAAGTGACTTACCCAGGGTCACAAAGCTAGTAAGTATCTGAAGCTGGATTTGAACTCAAGTCTTCCCGACCCCAGTGGTGGTGCTCTATCACCCGTGCAACCTAGCTACCCCTATATCAGCTCCTTTCTTTGCTAAGCCAAAGGACGTTCCCCCAAGAATCTCTATCCTCTCAAGAAGACTAGTCAAACAACTTCTCTTGGGAGCAACCTCAGTTACAGAAACTCATCAGACAGGAGATACCAGAGAGTCAAAGTGACTTGTACAATAGTTACATAGGTAGTCAGTGGCAACGTCAGGTCCTCTGACTCCAGATCAAGTGCTCCTTCCTCTCTGCCATGCGGATCTGGAAGCCTTCATTGACCAACTCCTATTCCTCCTTGAGGGGCCATTCCATGGATGTAGTATTTTTAAAATATTTCCATGCCATTTTGTGGTGGTATTTCGGTCTCCACAATGAAATTGGAAGTTCCCTCAAGAGTAAGGATCACGTCTTCTCATTCATAGGCTCACAGAATTTCAAAGCTGTAAGGGACCTTGGAGATTATCTAATCTAACCTCCTCATTTTACAGATGAAGAAACCAAGGCTCAGGGAGGCAAAGTCACACAATGAGTTAGTTATAAATTAGTACATAAATTGTGTGATCAGATGAAATAAGAGTTGTAAAGAGCTTAGCACAGTGTCTGGCACACTGTTGTTCTTCAGAAGTGTCCAACTCTTTCTGACCCCACAGTCTATAGCCTACCAAAACTGTCCATGGGATTTTCTTGACAAAGATACGGGAGTGGTTTGCCATTTCCTTCTCCAGCGTATAAAGGCAAACAGAGGTTAAGTGAGTTGCCCAGGGTCACATAAGGCTGGATTTGAACTCAAGTCCTCCTGACTCCAGGGTCAGTGCTCTATCCGCTGTGCTACTTTGCAGCCTCTGTGTGTGCCTGGCATACAGCAAGCATTCTATAAATGTTAGGGGGAGGGGAGGGGAAGTTAGTGAATTCAAAAATCATACAATGATTGCCTTTCCCACCAGACCAAGCTGTTTTTTTTTTTATAGCAGGACCTAGTACAGGACTTTGTGTCCTTCTTGAAGGTAGGTAGGTGACACAGTACATAGAGTGTTGGACCTGAGAGAATCATTTTAACCTCTAAGGCTTTGTTTTCTCATCCATAAAATGGGCATAACAAAAACATCCACTTTACAGGCAGGATTGTTGTGAAGCTCAAATGAATTAATGTATGTAAAGCATTTTGCCACCCTTAAAGCACTTGATCATCATCATCATCATTATTGGTGGCGATGTTTTTGCTGATATCATGAGCTAGAGTGGGAGCAGAGTTCTCCAATGCATCCTTTGTCCATCACTTCCTGTTCCTCCTGAGGGTGACTCCTCCTCCTGGCATTTATTTGTCCTCATATGATTTTGCTTCTTCCAGAACCCCCTATGATCTCCAAGGAAAATGGCTTACTGATCTGCCGAGCAACCAGGGTTAAGGCAGGGAGAAGAATCATCTGGTCCAATGACCTGCCAAGAGTGAAGACAGAGTTCACATCCAATCAGGATGCCACAGACCTATTCAATCTCAGCAGCTCTCAAGTTTGGAATGATAGTTTCTACAGTAATCCACCATGCTGTAAAGTCGTGGATGAGAAGGGCTCCCAAGAACTTTGTTCACAAACTTGCTATACCAGTGCCATCATGGAAAAGTCCTCAGGTAAAGTCTGGAAGAATGTGTCAGAGGCAGCTGACAATTTTTTGAGTTTTTTCTTGCTGTTTAGGCTAGCAATTGCAATCCCAGTGGCATTTGGGATAGGACCTGGCAAGAAGCTCAGAAATACGGCACAGGATCCTGAACTTTGTCACTTTGAGACAATAATTCATTTTTTAAAGCACTTTAAGGTTCACAGTTTGCTTTTCTCATAATAACCTCCTGAGGCAGGCTGAGTGAATACTATTATCCACACTGCCATTTGCAACACAATGAAACTGAGAGTGAGGAAGGGAATACAGCTCATTAGTGTAAGGGCCAGAATTTGAACCCGGGTCATCTAACTCTAAATGTAGGATTTTTGTCACACCAGCCTCTCTCCAAAATGAGAACTCCCTCAGGTTCTCCTTGATTGGCCAGTCAATAAAATGTTACCTAAGTCTAGGAATATTATTCTAAGGCAATGATATCAGAGATATGGAGTCCAACTATGATACTGTAAAGAATTTGGCTCTCCCACCCTAGACACTAGTGAGATCTGGTGCACCTCAAGAGGAATTTACATTAGTTGTCACTATCTGTACCCCTATGAGCTGAGTTACTACAGATTCACACAAAACATACTACTCACTGCCCAACAGGATGGATAATATTGTTGTTTATCTTGGCATATCCTGGTTACTACCAACTAGTAGCATTTATCTCTCCTTAAATCTGCCCTTTCCAAAGACCTAAAAAATAAACACTCACATTGAGATTTCTTCATATCCATTTCTGCTAGTTCTCTGGTCTTCCAAGAAGCTTCTCTAAATGATTTCTAACTCTATTCTTTGAATTTTTAAAAATGCAGTTTACTTTCTTATCAAAGCAGCCCAATCATATTTTGAGGCACAGTAGAGGACTCTGGGACAAGAAGTAAACTTGTTCTGCAATTATTGTACATTCTTTTTTGAACAGCAGGTCAAGGGGCTAGTAAAGAATTGAAGGAGAAGAGAATACTTTGGGTGGACAAACTTCTCTACCAAGTCCTTAACCTTCTTGGCTCATGGAGCCATAGGGCATTTGAGCTGGAAAAGGATCTTATTATCATCACCTTTATTTTACAAATGAGGAAGCTAAGACCCAGAGGAATGAAATGATTTGCCCAAAATAACATAGCAACTTTTTAGCCTAGTAGGGATGCAAATATAGATCTTTGAATTCCTAGTCCAAGGCTCACAAGTCATTTTTGCTTTTCTTTCATTACAGGTACTCCAGCGACAAATCAAAACAATACACAGTGGCCTATAATCATGGCAATTGTTCTGATTTTGGCTATTCTGATTGCTGTCTTCCCATATCTAAAAAAGAGACCAGTGTTGAGTAGTCGTTCATGCATGACTGTCCTCTAATCATATTGTTTTCCATCATCTATGATATGTCCAACTTTATTTTTGTTTTGGCGATGCAATTGGAATTAAGTGACTTGCCCAGGGTCACACAGCTAGTAAGCATCAAGCAGCTGGTCTGAGGCCAGATTTGAACTCAGGTCCTCCTCACTCCAGGTCCAGTGCTCTATACTGTGCTACTTAGCCGCCCTGATACTTCGGACTTTTCAATTAATCATTCTGTCTTATGCTTGCTCTTCAGACTTTTTAACTAATCATTCTTTTTTTTTTCTTTTTTTTGGTTTAGGCAACGGGGTTAAGTGACCTGCCTAGGGTCACACAGCTAGTGAGTGTTATGTGTTGGAGGTCAGATTTGAACTCAGGTCCTCCTGAATCCAGCGCCAGTGCTCTATGCACTGCGCCACCTAGCTGCCCCCTTAACTAATCATTCGGTCTTATGCTTCCTGTCCTCTGTTCTCTTGTACTGCCCAAAACTATATGAATTCTATTTTGGTGTTTAATTAGATATTTTTGTGTTCTTTTTCAAAAAATTTTAGTTACGTGTTCAGTTTGTTGATCTGATGTTTCCCTCTTTTACTGATGTAATTTGTAATTATGTTCATATAGTTCCTGGGTTTGTCTTGGCAGGTAGACTCCAAAATATATTATAATGTCTACAATTATTTTCAATGGAATTTCTCTTTCTATCTCTTCCTGCTGGGTTTTGTTAGTAATATATGGAAATGCTAATGATTTATGTGGGTTTATTTTATGTCCTGTAACTTTGCTAAAGTTAATTGTTTCAACTAGTCTTTTTAGTTGATTCTTTAGAGTTCTCTAAATATACCAGCATATTATCTGCAAAGAGTAATAGTTTTGTTTCCTCATTGCCTATTCTTATTTCTTCAATTTTTACTGCTATAGCCAGCATTTCTAGTACAATATTGAATGATAGTGGCAATAATGGACTTTCTTATTTCACCCTTGATCTAAGGATTCTAGTTTATCCCCATTACAAATAATGCTTGCTCTTGGTTTTAGATAGATACTACTTATCATTTTAAGAAAAGCTCCATTTAGATATTTTACATGATTTCACATGTATAACCTAAATCAGATTGCTTACTGTCTCAAGGAGAGGGCAGGGAAGGAAGGGAAGAATAGAATTTGGAACACAAGACTTAAAAAAATGAATGTTAAAATTACTTTTATATGTAATAGGAGAAAAATTAAATGTTCTTATTAAAAAATAAAATGAGCATAAAAAGAAAAGCTCATTTATTCCTTTGCTTTATATCTATTGTATCTATCAATATAATAATATAATTTTTGTTGATACAGTCAGTTATGCTTATAGTTTTCCTAATATTGAACCAGTCCTTTGTTACTGATATAAATCCCATTTGGTCATAGTGTGTGAGCTTTGTGATTTATTGCTATAGGTTCCTTGCTAGTACTTTATTTAAATTTTTTGCATTAATATTCTGTAGTTTTCTTTCTCTGTTTTTGCTCTCCCTGTTTTGGTATCAAAACTACATTTGAATCATAGAAGGAATTAGGCACAACTCTTTTATCTATTTTTTTCAAATAGCTTATATAGTATTGGAATTAATCATTCTTTAAATATTTGGTAGAATTCACTTAGAAATCCATTGAGTTCTAACTTTTCATACAAATAAAGATAGATCAGAAAACTATTAATTGCTTATGGGTAGACCAAGCCAATGATAAAAATGACAGTACTATATAAATTAACTTGCTTATTCAGGGCCATACCAACCAAATTACCAAAGAATTATTTTATAGAGCTACAAAAAATAATAACAAAACTCATTTGGAATAACAAAAGGTCCAGAATATCAAGGGAACTAATGAAAAGAAATGTAGGGGAAGGTGGCCTAGTCATTCCAGATCTTAAACTGTATTATAAAGCAGTAATCATCAAAACTACTTGGTACTGGCTAAGAAATACAGTGGTGGATCAGTGGAATAGGTTAGGTATGCAAGACACAGCAGTCAATGACTATAGTTATCTACTATATGATAAACCCAAAGACCCCAGCTTCTGGGATAAGAACTCACTCTTTGACAAAAACTGCTGGGAAAACTGGAAAAGAGTATGGCAGAAACCAGGCATTGACCAAAACCTCACCCCATATACCAAAATAAAGTCAAAATGGGTACACAACTTAGATATAAAGACTGATACTATAAGCAAACTGGGAGAGTGAGGAATAATTTACCTATCAAGTTTATGGAGAACAGAAGAATTCATGACCAAACAGGAGATAGAGAACATTACAAAATGCAAAATGGATAATTTTGATTACATTAAAATGAAAAGTTTTTGCACAAACAAAGCCAATGCAACCAAGATTAGAAGGAAAGTAGAAAATTGGGAAAGAATTTTTACAACCAGTCTCTCTGGTAAGGGCCTAATTTCTAAAATATATAGAGAATTGAGTCAAGTTTATAAGAATACAAGTCATTCCCCAATTGATAAATAATCAAAGGATATGAACAGGCAGTTCTCAGATGAAGAAATTAAAACCATCTATAGTCATATGAAAAAATGCTCTAAATCACTATCGATTAGAGAAATGCAAATCAAAACAACTCTGAGGTACCACAACACATCTATCAGATTAGCCAACATGACAAAACAGGAAAATGATAAATGTTGGAGAAGATGTGGGGAAATTGGAACACTAATACATTGTTGGTGGAGTTGTGAACTAATCCAACCATTCTGGAGAGCAATTTGGAACTATGCCCAAAGGACTATAAAATTGTACATAACTTTTGACCCAGCAATAGCACTTCTAGTGCTATATCCCAAAGAGATCATACAAATGGGAAAAGGACCCACATGTACAAAAATATTTAGAGTAGCTCTATTTGTGGTGGCAAAGAATTAGAAATTGAGAGAATACCCATCAATTAGGGAATGGCTGAACAAGTTGCAGTATATGAATGTAGTGGAATACTATTGTGCTATAAGCAATGATGAGCAGGCTGACTTCAGAAAAACCTAGAAAGACTTGTATGGACTGATGTTGAGTGAAGTGAGCAGAACCAGGAGAACATTATACACAGTAACAGCCACGTTGTGCAATGACTAACATTGATAGACTTAGCCCTTCCTGGCAATACAAGGATCTAACACATCTCCAAAGGCCTCATGATGGAAAATGCTATCCCCATCCAAAGAAAGAACTATGGAGTTTGAATGCAGATCGAAGCATACTATTTGCTATTTTTTTCTTCTGTTTTGTTTTGTTTTCTCTTTCTTGTGGTTCCTCCTGTTGGTGCTAGTTCTTCCTTACAACATGACTAATGTGAAAATATGTTTAATAGGAATGTATATGTAAAACCTATATCAGATTGTGCTCCATCTTGGGGAGTGAGGTGGGGAGGGAGGGGGAAAAAATTTAAAACTCAAAAGTTCATGGAAGTGATGGTTGAGAAATCAAAATAAATTAATAAAAAAAATTTTTAAAAAAGAAAAGCTCCATGTAAATATTTTACATGATTTCACATGTATAACTTATATCAGATTGCTTACTATCTCCAGGAGGGAGCAGGGCTTCCTGTATAGAATTTGGAACTCAAGACTTAAAAAAATGAATGTTAAAATTACTTTTATATGTAACAGGAGAAGAAAAATGAAATGTTATTATTAAAAAACAAAACGAGCATAAAAAGAAAAGCTCATTTATTCCTTGGCTTTATATCTATTACATCTATTGATCTAATAATATAATTTTTGTTGATATAGTCAATTATGCTTGTAGTTTTCCAAATACTGAACCAGCCCTTCATTACTGATATAAATCCCATTTGGTCATAGTGTGTGACTTTGTGATTTATTGCTGTAGGCTCCTCTTTAGTACTTTTTAAAAAATTTTTTGCATTAATATTCGTGAGGGGAACTAGTCTATAGTTTTCTTTCTCTGTTTTTGATCTCCCTGTTTTTGGTATCAAAACTACATTTGTATCATAGAAGGAATTTGGTACAACTCCTTCATCTATTTTTTTTTTCAAATAACTTATATAATATTGGAATTAATCATTCTTTAAATATTTGGTAGAATTCACTTAGAAATCCATTGAGTTCTAACTTTTCATGCAAATAAAGATAGATCTAAACAATCAGAAAAATATTAATTGTTCATGGGTAGACCAAGCCAATGATAAAAATGACAATACTATATAAATTAACTTGCTTATTCAGGGCCATACCAACCAAACTACCAAAGAATTATTTTATAGAGCTAGAAAAAAGTAACAAAATTCATCTAGAAGGACAAAATGTAAAGAATATCACAGGAATCAATGAAAAACATATGAAGGAAGGTGCCCTGTGGGTACCACATTTCAAACAATATTATAAAGCAATAATAATCAGAACAATCTAGTACTGGCTAAGAAATAGAGTGATGGATCAGTGGAATAGATTAGGTATCTTATACACAGTAGTAAATGACCATACTAATCTAGTGTTTGATAAATCCAAAGATCCAAACTTTGGGGACAAGAATTCACTATTTGACAAAAATTGCTAAGAAAACCAGAAAGCAGTTTGGTGAAAACTAGGCATAGACCAACACGTCATACCATATACCAAGACAATGTCAAAATGGGTACAATTTAGCCAAAAAGGTAATATCATTAGCAAATTAAGGGAACATGGAAAAATTTACCTGTCAGATCTGGGGATAAAGGAAGAATTTATTACCAAACAAGAGCTAGAGAGGATCATGGGAGGTAAAATGTATAGTTGTGATTACATGAAATTAAAAAAAAATGTTTTTTGCATAAAACCAATTCAGGCAAAAATAGAAGGAAAGCAGGAAACTGTGGGGAAATTTGTATAGCAAAATTTTTAGGTAAAGGCCTCATTTCTTAAATATATAGGGAATTGAGCCAAATTTATAAAAAATAAAAGCCATTTTCCAACTGATAAATATTCAAATGATATGAACAGGCAGTTTTTAGAAGAAGTCAAAACTATCTAAAGATATATTTTAAAAGTGCTCCAAATCACTAATAATTAAAGAAAAGTAAATTAAAACAATTCTGAGATACCCCCACACACCC